AATGCTTGTTAAAGGTGGGTCTAGAGTAGCCTTTACTCTGTGGATAGGTTAGCTCAGGGGTCCTCAAAATACAGCCCGCGGGCCACATGCAAATACAAATATTGTATTTGTTCCCATTTTGTTTTTTTACTTCAAAATAAGATATGTGCAGTGTGCATAAGGATTTGTTCATAGTTTTCTTTTAAACTATAGTCCGTCCCTCCAACGTTCTGAGGGACAGTGAACTGGCCCCCTGTTTAAAAAGTTTGAGGACCCTTAGCTCCACTTCTAAGGCATGCTGCTCTGGGTTCTCTACGATGTTCTGAATGATTTCTAAGAATTGTATGCTATGGATAGTAGGAATGTGAATGCCTTCCAGCCCTGTGTGAGCTCTGAGAACCATTCAGTTCACAGCTCCTTAGTCATCCTATGTCCAATCTTGTGGCGTCTCATCCTTTACATCTCACTCATTAGTGAATACTCAAGAACTCTATTGCAGCTTTTAGGGAGTCTTTCACTGAATAGCTTTCTCTCTCTAGAATTTTGTCCCCTAATTTCCAGTCATCTCTGCCTCCTTATACTTCTATCCCTGTGCTTCCCATAACTTCAATTCAGCAACACAGCTGAGCTTAATCTGCTATATCCCACCCTGCTCAATTGTCTGGAATGTGCCTACAGCCAGAAAGCCGGGCAAGCCTAGCCCTCACCTCATTCATTCATTTCCCTTCTGTGAGGGAGCACATCCTATACTGCCTGTTGTCCAATGTGCACAAACTTTTATCTCTCCCATATACTTTGACCATATGTTATTTACAGCAAGAATATAATCCGAATCCCTGTTACTCCATCATGGTCATAAGTTAAAGTTCCATACTTTTCATTTATGGCATTATCTCCTAAACTTTACATCATTAGTGACCACATCTTTATTATTTTGGTAGATTTAATGACTCAAATTAAAAGGCCTTCTATTATTTTAACTGTGTACTTGCAGAGCTTTAGACTTGATGATAATGAACAGTATTTTTTTAAAAGTTATCATTTATGGAGTATCTTGGTTTTTACAGTTTTCATTTCCATTACAGACATTTTTGTCAAGAGCCCCAAATTAATGTTCATAAGGTTTCCAAAACAGAGGGTAAACAGATGTCCTATCTTTTAGGGTTTCCTTGTTTTGAAGGGTACACAGATTCTCTGGAAGACAATTTGGAGTTCTGTAATAATATATTATCTTCATGTGAAACATGACTTGATCCTGGCTTGGCCTGCCCTGCGTGCCTGTATCAGTAAAACAGTGCTGTTCTGCTGTCAACACATTCCAGTCATCAGTCACATGTTCCAGGGCAGCGAGCTCCTTTACCCTGGTTAATTGAGACTGGAAGAAGATGATGTCTGCTTCATCTTGAATAATTAAAAACCAAAATCAAGCCTGGTGTTTATCAGCTAGCCTCTGTCATCATGTGCCAAAAATACTACATAAGTTGTTGGGGATGAACTTAAAACCAAAATTGGACTTTAGGTTGAGATTATAAAAATAAAAATAAGAATTTAATAAGAATTCAGGAAAAAATTAATACTAACATTTCTCCATTGAAAGTTCCGTTTAAAAATTAAAATGTGTATTTCAGAGCAATGTGAATACACTTAGCACTTCTGAACTGTACACTTAAAAAGGTAAGGATGGAAAAAGTAAAACAAAAGCAAGAAAAGGCTCTGAATACCTTACCAAATTCATTACAGTTCAGGATGCAATGTAAACAATAATAAAAACAATGATAACTACATATAGAAGTAGGTAAACATTCAAAGGACTTACAAAACATTTTTTATTTAAAACCAAACTGGAACTGTATACTCTAATTAAAAGGAAAACAAAATGTTTTGAAACTTAATTCTACTGAGAGCATATAGTTGGCAAAGAGCATTCTTAAGAAAAGGGAGAGCATTACCACCAAGGTTCCCAGGAAAGTACAAGTGGGAGCATCCAAAGGGGAAGACATGTAAGTCATAAAGAATAAATGTTCTTTTCCCCAGGGCTTCTCACCTCCTGAACATGCTCACAGTGCCAAAACAGGGCAAGCACAGGGGATTAGTTTGATAACTGTTAATTGTTAAGCTAGCTTGGGTAAGATGATATTTGGTGAAATACTAATATCCTTACCTATAAAGAGACTGCCCATCAGATATCTAACCTAAGTGTTCTAGAAATAGGGGAACAATAAAGACAGAAAAAGCAAATACCATAACTCAAAACAAAAAACCACAGTTATTGTAATTTGAAATAAAGAACATGTTGTTTATATACATCTTCATATTCTATAAAGTAATAATAATGATAGAAAGCTGTTTTTGGTTTATCACTTTCCTCAATATAAAATTAATTTCCTATAAAAATTAATAAATATAAGAAAGCAAAATGATGTATCTTGGATATTAACTGATATCATTTGTGAATTAATATGTAACTGATATAGATGTAAATTTAGAAATAAAACTTTTCCATGCATAGCAAATGCACATTTTCTAAAATCTACCATATTTCTATATAGCTCTATGTCATATAATTTCACTTAAATAAGAATTTCCTGTCACCTTTACCCATTCTTAACAATTACTTGATATCAATTATTAAATATGATTTAAAGAAGAGGAATAGCTCTGGCCAGAGGCTCAGCTAGTTGGAGCATGGGAGCGTGGTCCAGTACACCAATGGGTTGTAGGCTTGATTCCCAGCCAGGGCACATACCCATGCTGTGGATTCAATCCCCAATTGGGGCATGTAAAGAAAGAACCAATTAATGTTTCTCGTTCACATTATAGACGTTCCTCTCTCTCTCTCTCTCTCTCTCTCTCTCTCTCTCTCTCTTTTTCTCTCTTCCCCACCCTACTCTTCCTCTCTCTAAAATCAATTATAAAAAATTAAAAATTTAAAAAGAACAGGACTAAATAGTAAAGCAGGAGGCCAGAATATGTGGTTAATATGTATATAAGATTAAATTTATTTTTATCAATTGACACTTAGTGTACATTTATTTTGAGATGATCTTTATAGGGCTTTCTGTAAATACCAGTTAAAGAGATGGTAACCAAAGGAAAAAATATCTAAACCTATATTAAAAACTTATTGCAAGTTACAAATAATCTTCCTATGATAGAAAAAATAAGCATCAGCATTTTTATCAATTGATAAAGTAAATCTCAACAGAGTAAATGCTTGTGGATACTGAGAGATGAAAAACTAAAAATTCTACAAAATACACATAACATCACATTTTAGGAAAGTAATAGAGCACAGAATAATAATAGTTGTGTATAAAACTCCACAAAAATGTATATTAGCATATTTATTGTTGCTGTCAAATATGAAAATACTAACTTCTCCTCTTAACCACAAATGATCATTTGAACTTCCTTATGTACACAATCATATTTTAAATTTCTCAAAAGCAGAAATTATATCTTAGTAATATGTCTATCCTCAATATCACTTACAACAGAGTCTTGCCCTTTACAGACATTTAATAGGGGGTTTTGATTTATTGAAAATATAAAACTTTTTTCAATACAATTGGCAATATGAGTTATCCTATATAATAAAAGGGTAATATGCAAATTGACCCTAATGGCAGAATGACTAGTCTCTATAACATGCACTGACCACCAAAGGGCAGATGCTTAATGCAGGAGTTAACCCCTGGTGGTCAGTGTGCTCCCACAGGGAGAGCTCTGCTCAGCCACAAGCCGTGCTAACAGCTGGGAGTGCAGTTGCAGTGGCAGGAGCCTCTCCCACTCCTTGGCAGCACTAAGGATGTCTGACTGTGACTTAGGCCTGTTTAACTGCCAGCTTAGGCCTGATCCCCCGGGGAGTGGGCCTAAGCTGACAGGTGGACATCCCTCGAGGGCTCCTGGGCTTCCAGAGGGAAGTCTGACTGCCAGCTTAGGCCCAATCCCTGCGGAGTGGGCATCCCCTGAGGGGTCCTGGACTGTTACAGAGCACAGGCCAGGCTGAGAGATACCGCCCCTCTCCCTGAGTGCACAAATTTTCATGCACTGGGCCTCTAGTATGAAATAAAGCTGAATATCTAAGAAAAAAATCACCTGAAGAGAGAATGGCCCATCATTACAAATATTAGAAGTTAAAGATAAAATGCCAATTAAAATTAAATCATAAAATACTGTGAATTTTTTTCTTCACAATAAAGGAAATAAAATAAAATGTTTTATGGAAGAAAGTTTATGTTTTATATTTGCATGGACATTCAGTGGTTCTCAACCTGTGGGTCGCGACCATCGGAAAATACATATAGCATATCAGATATTTACATTACAATTCATAATAGTAGCAAAATTACAGTTATGAAGTAGCACCAAAAATTATTTTATGGTTGGGGGTCACCACAACATGAGGAACTGTATTAAAGGGCCGTGGCATTGGGAAGGTTGAGAACCACTGGTAGCTCAAGAAGTAAGAGAAGGGGGAGGAAAGAAAATTGAGATGTACTGTCATTTGCAAGAATTAACATTAAGAAGGAACATACTATTGGGAGACAATTCTACAGGATCTCTTATGTTTTTTGCATGTCTCAAAAGTAGAGAGAGTGAGTGCCTTTGACCCCAATTGTGTTTTCAAGGATATCTGAACAGCATGTAGCCTCAGAAGACAGAACTATTATCCTCTTTCTAAACACTGGACAAGTTTACTTACAGTCTGGCAAGGTACATATAGTGCCTTCTTCTAGAAAAAACAGCAAGCATGCTTTTCTACCCATTAGGTTCCCTCTATTGAGGGCTTTCCTCCTGTAATGTATATAGGTATTACACCTATGGAAAATGGACTAGGAGAGGGACACAAGAAAATGCTAAAACTCCGGTTACTGCTAATGCTGTAAATAACAAAGTCCTTTGTCTCCAGTCCAGGAGTCTCATGCCTCTGGTCAACATTCATGAAACTGTGGCCCAGATAATTTGGTAATTCAGAGGTTGGGTAAGATCACAGAACCTTTAGAATTATGGACACATACCTGTTACTGTTTTTGTTTTTATAGGACTGCTGGCGTACTCAGAGGCCTGATATGACTGCTGCTTTGCCAAGGGCGCACTTCCAACAGATGCCTCATCCTCTTTCCTTCTGCTAATTGGCATAACAAGAGGAACAGCAATCACAGGCTGCTGGAAAGAGTCAAATGAAAAACTGAATTACAATTACGTACTAACGCATAAGCAGTGAAAGTTTAACAAGGCATTGCTGAGGAAAGGCCTTTACAACTTGGGGCTGAGATTTATATTTTGTCAATTCGTCAATCCAACAACCAATTTCCGTCACCCTTTCTCTTCAGGTCTCCCCCCAACCCCCTCTCTCTCTCTCACACACACACTGAATGACACTGTAAATTACGCCCAGCTGGTGTGGCTCAGCGGTTGAGCGCCAACCTATGAACCAGGAGGTCACAGTTCAATTCTTGGTCAGGGCACATGCCCGGGTTGCAGGCTTGATCCCCAGTGAGAGGCGTGCAGGAGGCAGCCAATCAATAATTCTCTCAACCTTATGTTTCTATCTCTCGCTCCCTCTCCCTTCCTCTCTGAAATCAATAAAATATATATTTTAAAAAATTATAAATTACAATCCTGTGTGAAATCTTGAAAATAATTGTAAATTTTAGTAGAAAGTATAAAGGTAAAATAGTAAGAGCAATTCAAAACTAAAACTAGCTTTGAAAATTAATGTTAGATCACCCCAATAAATTCAATAAATATAAAAAGAAAATTAATGTTAGTAGAAAATTAAAGGTTATTTTTAAAAATGATATTTTAGAGCCATATTCTATAAATTGATTAGGTAAATTTTAATATGGACAGTCCAATATTTTCTGAGAATTGCTGAAAGTCTATTTTGTCTGACAACGTGATATCCACAGCATATTTAGAAAGCATAGAAAAATATCTATGGTTAGAGAAAGCTGGAAAACATTATGATCCTATATTGAATGCATGAGTGCTGAGCTGAACAATAAAGCAGCTGTTTCATCTTTATTCACTGAAATAAAGTCTGATGTTACCGCAGATGACGCCCAATACAATCTTGTCAGATTTTTGGCAAAAAAAAAAGCATAGGTATTTTTATGTTTGCTGCAGGATCAAAGATCGATGTCGAACTGGGTGGAAAACAATAATCAAATGTTGGGTTTTAGCCACAAACTGAGAAGGAAATTGCAGCTTGGGAAACAACAGATGATAACTGTAATACAGCTGCATCAAATGGTGAATCTGGAGGGGGCCAGCCAGGTTGCCATGGAGTCTAACGTTACCCTCAACATCACCCACCGGGGGCAGACAGACCCAACTCATAGGACTGAATATTATTTAGAATATGAATAAACATTTCAATGACAACATAGGTATATTACAAAGCTATATCATATAATTGATCAAGTTATAAGCTACAGGGAAAAGCAAATTATTTTACAAGTTGTTACTTAGTTTGAGTAAAAGGATAAGAAGTTAATAATGAGAAAATGAAAATATTGTGTGGGAAGCATCACAATGTAGAGTACCTGCTGTTATAGTAAATATTAAGTCAAAATATTTTATACAAATATAAATAGGAAATACTATTTAAGACCTAGGTGAGAAATGCTCAGCATAATGTAAGTACTGATTCAGTTAGGTTCTCTTATCTATAAAATAAGGGGGTGGAGAAACCCATTTTATGCTCTAACATTTAATAATTCCATGAGCTCTTGACTTTCTTAGCCATGATTTACAATCCTGGAATATAACCAAGAATTCTTACAATCAAAATCTATATATATATGCCTAAGCAACTGAAGGACCGTTCAACCTTTCGACCGTTCAACCGGTAGCTATGACGCGCACTGACCACCGGGGGCAGACACTCAATGCACAGGCATGAAAACATGGAACAGACTGATGAATCTCAGAGGGAAGGGGGGAGGGGAGAGGGCAGAAAGAGATTAACCAAAGATCTTATATGCATAGCAGAGGCCCGGTGCACAGACTCATGCACCTGTGGGGTCCCTCAGCCTGGCCTGCAGGGATCAGGCCGAAACTGGCAGTCTGACATCCCCCGAGGGGTCCCGGATTGCAAGAGGGCTTAGACCAGGCCGAGGGAACTCACCGGTGCACACATCCATGCACCAAACCTCTAGTACCTAATAAATAATTAGAGAAAAATATATGCTGCATAGTGTGTTACTAATTCAAGCATAACAGGTAAAGGATGTGATTAATGAAAGCCATAGTATTGGCAATGCTCAATAAACAAACAATAATCTTTCTTTCATTGGCTGAAACTCTGGGAGCATTTTCACATAGGTAAAAATACAATAAAAGGCCAAACAAAAAACTTTGGCTCTTATAAGCTTTCTACACACCAAAATTCCAAATGCCTACAATGGCATCCAACAGACCCTCCATAAACATCTGCTGAATGATTGCTAATATAGGTGCCATACGTCAGACATGAAGAGATACCGTATGAAGAATAAGATATGTGATTCCCTCTACTTTTCTGGAAATATGGCTACCCCAGTCAAAAATATCAAAATAAGCAGTAGCCATCTCCCATTCTCTGCTTACTTCTTCTACCTTCTGGTACTAAGTATTTCCCCAAATGTCAGCTGATTTGTCCTATTCTTGCCCCATCAATACCCCATCATCCCAAAAGACTTAAAGCCTTTCATCACTCTTCCTATAAAATGTCCCTTTAATTTATTATTAATTTAATAAATGTAAAAACACAGGAAATAACAAAGAATAAAATAGCATCCATATTTTCAATATAACCAATAATTACTACCTATTAACATTTTATATTGGCTTCTTAAAAAGAAGGGGGGGAGATAGAAAATGTTAAAATAAAGGTAAAATCTCTTCTCACTGCAAACCAATAGCCCATTCCTTCCAGGTAGGGGAGGCCGGGGGAAGGTCAATGGGAAAAAAAAGGAGACATATGTACTACTATTTGTAATACTTTAAACAATAAAATAAAATTTAAAAAAGAATAAAAAAATAATAATTTCCAATAAACTATAAAAAGCTCTAGAGGGAGAGATATTTTCAACCATGACTTTTATATCTTAACCCAGGTATCTAGTATACTGTCTCAAAGTCTGGAACTATTTGAAAAAAAAAGAATGGCATGGGGGAGAGAGGCAAAAGTTTCAAATGAAATTAGAACAAAGGGAAAAAAAACATTTAAAATATGCTCCTTGATATATAAGTTGTACTTTTTAGTGAATTTTTATATTCTTATGTAATTCTAAAAATGTACATTTTTTCTCCTACAAACTAGGTTTAAGTTATTTAAGAAAAAAAGATATAAAGGTATTCCAAGTAGAATATTACAAAACTACAATGAAGTCAATGGGAAATGCAATTAAATATTGTATAAATTTGACCTTAAATTCTAAGTTCTGTCATTTACTGGATTTGTGACAATAGGTAAGAAAGTGTAAATAAGCATTAATTTCTTCATCTTTAAAATGGGAATAAAACCCATCTGTCAGAATTACACTTAAGTATCATGACATGGAAAATTATACTTAAGTATTCTAGAAACCACAGTTAGCTACTATTTACTTTTTAATTTATATCCTTTTAAACAAACACATATTCCAACTTTTTTGCACCAACTATCCTAATCCCAGGGTTAGGCGCCCAATGCATGTGGGTTAATAAAACTACGGATTAAGAAGAAATATCAAAATAACAAAAAGGAAAATTAACACTAAGAAATGTTTATGTATTTAACACTCTGAGAACGAACATGTAGGCACTATGAGGAAAAACAGGACAGTAAAATAGGATGACCTACCTCAGCTAGCCTCTGTCATGTATCTGCTTTACAAGCAATTGTACAGAAAACACCTTTAATTATCAATGAAACTCTATTTTAAAGAATAGAAATGCTTAAAAGGGGTAGAATGGGAGACAGAAGAATTCTGCCAAGTCCATAAATGAAATCAATAGAAGAAATACCATATATAACTCTAATAAATGATAAAAAAAGATTATTCATTGAGAAAACTATAAAAATTTCTCACCTGCTGCATATGCCGACTGGTTCGTTTCTGAGGCTGATAAATGAGCCAGGTGTATAAGACTGGATCAATATTAACTGCTAGTCCTTGTACACTACAAAGCAGAACCGCACCTAAAAAGCAAGATGTAAAAATTGTTATAATTCCTTATAAAAAATAATAAGCGTGACATCACTTCACCCTGATTAGGATAAATATGATTAAAAAGACAAAGAGCAACTGGTGACAAACCCTCAGACATTGCTGGAGGAAAAGTAAAAATGGCACAAATGCTTTGAAAAACATTTTGATGTATTTTCTCCAAAAGCAGTTACCATATGACACAACAATTCTATTCCTAGATATACCGTATACTAGTACCAAGAGAACTGAAATCGTGTGTCCATGCAAAACTTTGTACATTAATATTCATAGCAGCATTAATCATAATAATTTAAAAAGTGGGAACAACACAAGTGTGCATGAATTATTGAATGGATAAACAAAATGTGGCAACGTGATACAATGGAAAAGTATTTATCCATAAAAATGAATGCTGCGTGCTAAAACACAGAAAAACCTTAAAGACCATGAAAAAAGCCAGCCACAGAAAATCACATACTGCATGATCCCATTTATATGAAATGGCCAGAACTGGCAAATCCTTACAGACAAAAAAGATTAGTGACTGTCAGAACCAAGAGTAAGGAAGAATGAGAAATAACTGCTAATAGATACACGGTTTTTCTAGGAGTAATGAAAATGTTCTGCAATTAGCAAATGGTGATTGTTATAAAACCTTGCAAAAACAGGGTGGGGCAAAAGTAGAATTACAGTTGTTTGTATGAAAAAATAATACAATAATTAATAAATAATACAAGCATAAACTCTGTGCTTCATGTACTCACAATTGTAAACCTACTTTTGCCCCACCCTGTATGCTAAGAATCACTACATTATGTGCTTCAAGGAATTTTATGGAAGTGAATCATCTCATTAAAAGTGCATTTGTCTTGGACAGGTGCCCTGGCAGCCTCCCAGCAGGTCCAAAAGGGGCCCTAGAAGCTGAGAGGCATAGCAGAGCTTGGCGTGACCAAGAAGAAAAAGAAAAAGGACAAAGACACTGTGAAACTGCTGGTGATCAGGGGAAGGAGCAAAAAGGACAGAGAAGTGGCATGGCCTGGACAAGCGGACCCTGGCCCAGGCAGCCTTCGAAAAGACGCAGAGGAGGCAGCAAATGGAAATGACTGAAGAAAGCCTCCAAAACCCACAAGCAAAGAGTGGAGGAATTTACTAGACACCTGGAGGCACTCTGGGTGCACTGGACATCCCCAAAGTCCGCAGGCCGAAGTCCCCTCCATCCCTGCGGCTGGGGTATGGAGTACACCAAGGGACACAAAAGGCCATGTTTGGTGCCTTTGGTATTTTCTAGAAATGTTGTTTTACACCCCCTTGTGCCTTCTGTGAAGGCAGCGCTTTTCAAAGGAGTGTGCCCTCATTCTGGAACTTGGTGAGAGTAAGACCATCCTTTTATTCTGGTTTCTCAGTAGCAATGAAGATGAACTTTTTCAGTTTGGATTGGAAATTATTGAGAGCTTACCCAAAGGTTAAGGTTATTTCTGGTGCATCTAACTCATGTGGACAGCCGCCAGCTCTCTCTGCCTGGAGGAAACTGCCCTGAGGGGAGGAGAAGCTGCAAGTGCAGCCTCCTGTCCAGAGAGAAAAACCACCAGAGCAAGGATGGCATGAACGCCTCGCCCCTTTCTGAGCTGAGCTGGTGGCTGGCATGCAGCCTGTTCCCCCAATATCCCATTCCAGACAAGTCAAGTGGGTATTGCCAGGGAAGACACTGCCAGTCAAGCACTGTGTTCTCTGTAATGGAACCCAGACACTGCCTGCCTCAATAGCGTCACCCGTGGGCTCCGGGCAGCCTGCATATCCATTCAGAGTTGACACATACATGGAACCTGCTTGGCATTTCCAGCCTAAGGGACTAGGGCAGAGCCCCAGTGCAGACAGACGTGGGTGCAGTCTAAGGGGAAGCCCAGGTTCCAGTGCTGGAGTGCCAGGATGTTTGTGGCCCTGCATGTCCCTGCCTATGAGGCTGCATATGCTATTTTGACATAAGTCTGGGGTGGGGTGTGGGGGGGAGATATTCAGAAGAGAAAAAATCTAAGTGTTGGGTTTGCGGCTGTCTTATGTGAACTGCAGAAAAAAGCAAAAACAGTTACTAAATTTTAAAAAGTACATCTGTCTTTAAAAAATAATAAGCTTAATATTTTTAGGCAAACACCAATTTCTATATTGGCCGTGAGAATGGAATATTATCTCCTTTTTTGTTTACCTTACAAAACTAATTCAGGAAGTGAAAGGAAGCATAATTATAATCACTCAATAAATCATTGTACATTACAGCTTTAACTCTTCAGAAGCAGAGAAAGGGAGCTGCCTAGATGAAATACAGGCTAACATTCTGACGTCATACACAAGGCTGAGGTGCAACAAGTTGTAATTCAATCCTACCAACTAAATATTTTTATCCCTCTCTGATAAAAATTAGCTCAGACAGAACTTAACTAAAGCAGAATATCCCATTTTTAATTTATGTATTAGTTATATAGGTTCATAAATAAGGTTTTGCATTTCTACATGTTTTTACATAAAAATATTAGCACCACAATAATGTATAAAATATGAAAGAAGGCGTATTTGTCAGTTTTGCCCTGAACTTTATCTATCTCCAGCATCTAGAAAAGTACCTGCCACAAGGTAGGGGCTGAAAAAAGTCAGGATAAATGCTAGATAGGTTAGACGGGGAAAGCCCATTTGTTCTAAAATACTGCAGATTATTTAAACAATCAGTATTAGTGAAATTAGAATCAATACTGAGTCCTATGAGAAATGAAGCACACAGAGCTGGAAATAGGATGGAGGACAGGGAGCAAGAGAAATCTCCCCTTTTTCAAAGCTTTGCACAGAATTTTCAAACAGGCAAATTTGCCGTGTATGCTCCTGTTCCACCTTACAGTGCTACTTCTCCCAAGGACCCAGAGTCAGTGCAGATTCCTCAGCAGCATGCTGAGACAGCACAGGCAAGTCCCCCATTCACGTACCAATGCATGTGCTGCTGAGTAACGGTTCACTCAAATACATGTCAGGAAAAAAATGATGGGAGAAGCAAAACACAAGGTGATTGCAAAAGGGGACCCATAAATGAAGTCAATTGGAAAATACAATTCAATATACTTTTTTTCTGTAATAGAATGCAAATTCTTCCTGAGGACCTAAATTCTTCTATTTCTCAAATATCAGTAGTATACATTACAAGGTTTAAAAATGCTATGTTATATCAAGGGGACATAAAACAGGACTTTCCCAAAGTGATATCCAGTGTTCAAACAATTCTAGCAACTTAACTACACCTGAGACTGTCATCCCCAAGTAGTAAGGAAAACGCAGTATTATGGTATGCAGCGGGAGTTCTTTTGAATACTGCCTTTGTTTTACTACAACTCATTTTCTCAAAAAATATTATTAGGTGAGAAATAGAATTCGCCTCCAAATCTGAAAACTAAAAAAAATGTGGCAGAGTGGGGAGAAAATCATGAGAAAAAAAAATTTTAAAGCTTTTAATTAAAAAAATTAGCTGAACACATTTATTTTATTTTATTTTTCTTTTTTTTTGAATCACACAAGGCGTTTATTGAGAAGGCCAGTCAACCAAGAAGACAGGGCACTTACAAACATTCAAATCCTGTCTTCCCAGTCAGGCATACGGGGCAGGGTTATGAAGGGAAGAGGCTAGGGGGGAGGCAGCCCTGCAGTCAAACAATTCTAGCAACTTAACTACACCTGAGACTGTCATCCCCAAGTAGTAAGGAAAACGCAGTATTATGGTATGCAGCGGGAGTTCTTTTGAATACTGCCTTTGTTTTACTACAACTCATTTTCTCAAAAAATATTATTAGGTGAGAAATTGAATTCGCCTCCAAATCTGAAAACTAAAAAAAATGTGGCAGAGTGGGGAGAAAATCATGAGAAAAAAAAAATTTTAAAGCTTTTAATTAAAAAAATTAGCTGAACACATTTAAATGAACAACCTGCCTTCTGCTCCCCACACCTTCTGCCCGTGACCTCACACAGGCCCTGTTTTTACACTAATCACCCAAACTTATATTTTCTTCTCTGGATTGTTTGATACTATTCTCACAGCACATCACCTCTTTGCCCCCTCAAACTGCTGTGTTACAAGACTGAGGGAGGTGCTAGCATACCGCCAGCAGTCTTGCAGACAAGCAAACCGAACCTCAGGCCCCTCGCCTCCTGTTTCTGTGAGGTAGTGGTCTCCTCCTCCTTCACATGATGTGCCACTATATTTTGCATTTATACTTTGGTATTACACTCTTGTAGACTTGCTCTTTTATAAATGACATGTAAATAGTTTTCCACTCCCCTCCCTTCTCCAATGGTTATGGTGTTTCTCTCTCTTTCTTGTTTTCGGTCCAGTACATTTTGTTTCGGTGTATGACTCTGTATTTTGAATCCACATCTCTCCTCTCTAGTATTTTTTAAATAAACGTTTACATTAGAAAAAAATAAAAATGAATAAATAAATGAACAATTTAAGAAATTTATTTAAATTCAAGTATAATTCAATCTTAAAGATTAAAACACTTTTCTAAAATCCAAATAGAGAAATGAAATTACAATTAGATTTAAATTATTATGGACTGCTTCCTATCACACAAAGCCACTGTAATAAAACTTTACAATTAGTATTGGCATAAATATAAAAACCAACACAAATAACATATAATTAACAATAACGAATGTGGTCCACCAAGAGAAAGAATAATAACAAGGAAGAAAACAATGGGATCCAGAAGACAAGGGATCCAACACAGGAGGAAAATGATGGGAATCCCCAGGATGGCAACAGTGAATTAGTGACAGGTACACGGAAAACTTAACAAACACAACTATTAAATACAGGAAAAACCAATGTTAAAAAGGCAAGGATAACCATTTACAGGATACAACATTACTGTGACATAAGTAATATTTGTAGGCAGAACTAAGTAAATTCTAACAAAAATGACGTACTGGATTAATCAAACCTATGATATAGTAGTGA